ATGTGTTAAAACCTCAACCCTACCCACCCCTACCTGGCTACCCCCAAATGCAACCCGATCTTCAACCCATAGTTTTCAACCCCAAACCAAAATCAGGTTGTTCAAGTTGGGTTCAGGTTGTAGCTTTACCTACCAAATTTACAAACAATATCATATATGCATGTTATAGACTTCTAGTAATATTTTACTTTTTTTTGGTGAAATTCTAGTAATATTTTACAATGAACACATTATCATCATCATCATCCTCATTCAACATTCCTCATTGTATAAGAATACCAGTATACAAAAATGAATGCATATATACACCTTCATGTACAAGAATAAAAAATTACACGTGTAAAACATCAGGCTTATGTTGGGTTTTGCCGTTGCACCCCTTCACCCATGTATAATATGGTATGCTAGTCTAATTTATAACTTCCCTCTGATTGCTTAAAGACATAATGTTTTGGTAGTATTTAAAAATGCAAGTAAGCTGATCAAGTGCCAAGTGCAAGAATGATCTCTTATTTCAAACTGTTTGCACACACACAAGTCGATTACGAAAATATAACTGACTGTTYTTAATATTTCTTTCCATATATGCAGCTCCTTTATTATGACATCAGATACGTCCCTTGCTTTGTGCTCTTGGACAAATATGGGAGAGCATTAGCTAAGACTGGTGTTCCAACTAGTCGGCTACATGTAGTTGCTGGTCTCTCTCATCTTCTCAAAATGAAGCGGCCTCAGAAAAATCAAGGCGATGTTACACTTTCTGCTACTGGTAAACCAAAAAAAAGTTTTTAACTTCTTGTAAATTTGCATCCTTTGAAAATTCCTTCCATCACAACGCGCTTTATTTATTTTAGTTTGGTTGCCTGCTTGTCCCAAGCTTTATCACAAGTTTGAGACCACAAGTAACACTTTGACTCCTCTTGCTATTCGACCATTGTCCTCCGAAGTTGCATGATCCTCTATGGTCTACAAAAGCTTCGTCCTGTTTTAATATGTAGTCCTTTTGGTACCTTTTGCTCACAATCCTTGGTTTGGATAGACTCTGGAGTCAATGTGGTGTTCAGTCTATTTAACTTAAATCTTATTGTGATCAAATAAGTAGTCCATGAAAAATTGAAAAACCAAACCGAACTGAGAAAACTGAACCGCAAAATGTAGTTAATCAAATCGGTCGGTTCGGAATTTTTGAATAACTGAAGGATCAGTTCGGTTTTTGGTTAACTTGTAAAAAAACCAACGGTGAACCGAACCGACTGGTATATATATTTTATAAATATTTTTGATGTCACATATTTTCTATGTATTATATATCATTTATTATTTATAATATAATATTATACATATATTTATATAATGTATATTATAAATATAAAAAACCGAAAAACCGAAGAACCAAACCAGTCAAAAACTGAAACCGGTGGTATCGGTTTGGTTTTGGCTTGGCGAAATAAAAAAACTGGTACCACCGGTTCGGTTTACAAAAAGGGCCAACCGAACCATGGACACCCCTACAAATAAGTAAGAGAGAAGAGGTAAGGTGGGTTCACTTGTTTAGCGGGAGGCACGGAGAAAAGGTGGATGACGGAAAAAATGGACCTGCTTGGTAGGCGATAGCATTCGAAAAATCACAATTTGGCTTTTAACATTCTAAAATGGTAAAATCCCATTCAAACTAGCGTAATGGGCCTGGCTGGAATCCATGTTTAGGGGTGTTATTTAGGTTGGTGGGATTTCATCATCTTGCTGGAATCCATTGTTGGAAAAGGATTCTATTATCGAATTTGAATTATAGGCAGGGGCGGAGCCAAGGGGGTGGCGGAGGGGAGCCATGCCCCCCCTTATGCCTTCAAAATTTCCTTTAAATTTATTTAAGTTTCACTTCTATTTTAGCCCCTTTACTCATGTTTCTTAACTTTTGGCCTCCTCTATCCATGTTTTCTAGGTTTTGGCCCCCCTCAATAAAAAATCCTAGTTCTACCCCCTGATTAAGGATTTGTAGAACCCAAGCCTAATGGCAATGCCCATAAATGGTCATCCCTATCCTGAACGCAGCCCAGACACCTAGGACCACTAGTCTATGGCAGCCATTATGATTTAGAATTCTTATCCGGAGTGGAGGACCAATAGAATCCAACGGTGCATCATAGTGCACGTCTGGCTACCTATTTCCTGAGTTCGTATCAGAATCTGTGTGCTTTGCATTGTTTTCCTTGAGCAGGCTTTGATTACGAATCTGTTGATTCAGGAAATACATGGCACCACGAAAGAAGATAAAGATAAAATGATGATGTTATGCGTTGATTGCTCCAATTTATGTTGTAAATGCAATACCAGTGCTCTTTTTCAGTGGTTTCACATCTTACTTTCAGTAATGCGCAGATGTTCTGCAATTTAGGCTCAGTTTGGAAGGAGTACAAATACAAATATGTACGGTACAAATCTGTACAAAATATAAGATTTTGCACTCTACATATTTGCATTTGTATTTCTTCTAAATGGAGCCTTAGGCTCAGTTTGGGGAGAGCATAAATACAAATATGCACAGTGCAAATACATACAAAATATAAGGTTTTGCTCTCTACATATTTGTATTTGTACTCCCTCCAAAGATTAATTTTAACAATGTGTCATTGCATGTGTTTCATTTGAACCGGTTTTCATTTTTCTTACCATAAATTTTCTTCTGATATCTAACCTCCCATTAATTAGATAAATAGGTCTACACCAGTTCAAATGAAAACCAACCCAGTGTTATATTCTCATTCTGGTTGAACCCCTGACACTCACAGAAAATGTGCGATGTATATGAATGCTTAATGCTTATATCTTCTCAATGTGTTTGAATGGCTGTCACGTACAATGGTGGTCGTTACAGTTTGTACAAGAATGGAGTAGTAGTGGACCAAGTAATAGTCCTTGACCTCCCGGTACAGGTTGGCAACTAGAGCAGCTACTCAGCTAGGCTTCAAGGTGGGTTAATGGATTCCGCTAACAGGAGGTTGGTTTAGAAGAATTTGAGCATCGTACTCAATAATAAAGAGAGCCATTTTTAGGCCTTACAGCGTTGCTGAACTTTCAACAGTAAGCCCCCCAATTGGTTGAGGGAATAAGGGTCTTGAATTGGAATCTGATGGGCTATTCCGATTTCAACTGTTTGGTTGAGCGGAATTGGAATTCAATTCCCAATCCTGCTGTAATGGGTTAATGGCATTCTCGTTTGAGGGATTGGTCATTCCCCGCCCTTTCCTTTGGAATGAAATCCTATTTCTGCTGATTTCATTTTTCATTCACATTCTTGTATGAACCATACAGAATATGGGAATAGACCATTTCAATTCTAATTCAAGCTGCAAACAGAATGAATCCTAAGAGAATCAGTAAGAGTTGGCAGTATTTTATTTTTTGGGTAGGTTGAACATATATATGCATTCTCGGTTGTGATACTGAAATTAATATCAGCTCCAGATTTCGCAGTACCACAGTCGACATTCAGCTTTATCGCTCCAGGCACTCATTTAAACTAGATTAATAAGTCTTAAAAGAGAAAACGAAGTTAATCCGTTGGAACCATTTCTTTTGGACTTTTTATTGTTTAACCCAAAGTTCGATCAACTTCGGACTGGGACCGGTGCTGCACATTCAGATTCAGTTACAACTTACAACTAGAAGTGGTCCACAAGCAACCAGTTAAATGGATGAAGACAGTAAAGAAAGAGGTAATTTAAGAGTTCAACACAAAGGAAAAAAGAAAAGAAAATTACAATTCCCATCAACACCTTGGTGGAAAGGCCAAATGATGAATCTCGCTTAAAGGGTCCAACAGGTCAAACTTGTATATCCCACAGGACCCACACCAAGACAATAAACCAAAAACAAATTAAGCCGAACACCACCCATCATGGTTTAAGAAAACTGGGCAGACTAGAAAATTGAAATTGAGAGTGAGATTAGAACTTGGAAGGTAATCAAAGTCCGGACTCAGGCGTCGGGACTCGGAAAGCACAACCGTGGTGAAGGTGAAGATGGTGGAGGACTGATAACTGATTGGAGGTTTTAAGGGCCGCAGTTTACCCGACAAAAGCTGCGCATGTCACATGGGAAAGATGCCTAGAACCACGTGAGCAGCCCAGGTTGGAGGCTATTTTAGTCATTTAAGCATTAATACCATATCCCATGAATCCATCCATTACTCCATGTCCAACAATCAGTTTTATTTTTGTAAATATTAAAATCAACCACAATAACAGAAAGAATGACAATACGAGTATATAGGTAGAGTTAGTGGGCACCATTTATTTATTTGCCTCTAATCTATATCTGCACTTGTGGCATTATGTGCCAGAGGCGTACGTTAAAACCAAGACAAGGCCGCACAGCAGCTGTTATGATGCGGACTGCGGTTGGTTGTTATTTATTTTATTTATTTATTACCCATTACAGATTCGCAGAATACTGAGTTTTTTTTTTTCCTTTTTTAAAAGAATACAGAGGTTATGAGCCTTATTGGTTGGGGGGCAAAACTTTGTTGTTTTTTGGGAACGAAACGTTAATCCATTCAATGGTCAATCGACTCAATCCCCCTCTTTTGGTTAAAAGAATCATTAGTGAATTTACTCTTTTATCTCACACTCTCAGTAACGTGTCATGACTAGCCTAGCCTAGGAACTTTTTCAGTTTTCAAACGCTCAAAATTTACATGGCGACCCCACAATTCTCCACCCTAAAACTTGGATTTCTGGTTAAGTGTTTTTTCTTGCAGCTTTTAAGTGGCTGAACCAACCAAATGACCTAAGGGTACGGTATTCACTCCAATTTCTGCCTCAGTCATTAAGCATCTTATATTCACTACATCTGCACAAGTCTACAATACAAAGCAAGCAGTGACTAATGAGTCGATCAGTTTAGTCGTTTCAGCTGTTATCAAACGACTCCAGGCTCTGCGATGTCTTAATTGACTTTTATGTAAAAAGTAAAAACAAACACTGATAAGTAACAGGTTCTGCAACTCAAGATAACAAGCCATTAATGCAATTTACTAGTCTCTCTAATAACAAAACAATGTACTAATTTCTAGGTTCAGTAACGCCTAACTTGCTGGATGATGGKGACGATGATCATGGTGCGAAGAAACCCAGAAAAAAATAACAGTCTAATAAGTAGTCCAGGAGAGGTTGCTGCTGGTGGTAATGGTGATTTTTTTTTTCTTCTTTTTCGTAAGCAGTGGTAATGGTGAATTGGAGATTGGGCGTCTAGAAAATAAACAAACTGTAAAAAATAAATGAAAAGAAAAGAAAAGAAAACAAGAGAAAATCCCCTCATCTTTTGTAATTCTCTTACATGTTACATCCATGAAAAAAAGGGAAAAGTCCATCATCCATATCTCATCATGTGCTGCTCATTCTCGCGTCGTATTTATAACCCAACTGTGGTGAAAATTGCAGGGAAAGATGAGACGACTACTAGAACAGACGAAATGAACAAAAATGTACCAAATTATAGCAAAAAGAGCAAGTAAGAATTAAAGAGAGTACAGTAAAGATGGAAAATCAACGGACCCATGTCAAGAATCGACAGCTGTAGATGGGTTCTGAGGAGGATGACCTGTCTGCTTAGGGGTTTCCAGTGGAATTGCTATTGGAACGGTGTCGCCGGAGCCATTCGCATTAGGTGGCGGGTCGATCCTTCCATCGATGCAAGAGGCGCACTTTGTCTCTAACCATTCTTCAATATCGTATTCCCCATGACCCATGATTCTCCTTCCCGAGCAGAGCCGACCAATCATCCCGGCCACAACCCCCAATATCGTTATCAAGGCAAGAACGGCAATAACAGGTCCGATTGATCCGTGACTCGAGTAACTGTTGAAAGCTTGCTGATTTGCAGTCATGGGTGGCGGCTGCTGCTGCTCTAATGGCATTGACATTTTCACTGCAACTCAGGAAAACCAACTTTTTCTTTCTTTCTTCCTCCAAATGGAAGTATAAAAAACTGAAAATTTTGACTCGTTGAAGTGTAGTGCTACTTGGATCAGGAAGTTTTTGTTGTTTAAGCACAAAAGCACATGAGAGATTTGCGGAGACCGAGAGCACCAAAAGCGCAAACAAGGTAAACAAAACAGAGACAAGAGAAGAGAAAGATGAGGATTTTATTAGGTCTAGCAGTTCAAAACACCAAAATTCTTCTAGGTTTTGAGGTTCTGCAACTCAGAACAGTAAAAGTTGCAGAGCTACAAACATAAACCACTTAAAAAATATTTTCCGGGGTTCACAAAAACCGGGGAAAGTGATAGATGGGATTTAGGAGGTTTGAACGAATATATATATATATATATATAAAAGAAAAAAAAAACAGTTTCTTTGATGATTCTGAAAATGGGGTTGGGTGGACGTAAAAAGGTCTTATTTGGTGCTTATAAACCCTAGAATTCGCGAGAATTTTTTATCCCCACCCATTAATCTATGTTAAAGAGAGAGCAGAAATAGTGAGACTGTGAGAGCCGAGAGAGGTACAGCTACCATTAAACTAGAAGTGACTGTAAACAATAAGGCGTAACAGTAGTTTTAAAGAAAGCCCCAGAAAAAGGAAACGGTAAAATATAATGAAAAGAAAAAGTTGGTGTAGAAAAGTAAGAAAATTCGGTGGCTAAAACCCTAGAAAAACCCTCCTTTCAAATCGAAGAGCCTTTTGGGGACTTTTTTGTGGCACCTCAAGAAATCATCGAAAACAACATCAACATATATATATAGCTGAAAGTTGAAACATGCTCGAAAAATCAACAAACCAAACCGATTTGCTCTCTTTCTCTCCTCCCGGTCGGATGCGGAGAGAACTCAGAAGCCTACACTACATTAACTACATTTTTTTTTTCTGGGTATATCAATATCTCAAGTCTCCCTGCGAGAATTTTGGGAAATTTCCTTTTTTTAATAAAAAACAACACAGGTGTTTGAGTATTACCAAATTATTTATAATTTTTAAAACAAAAAACTAAAATAATTCGTAACCAATAGTAATTACCAATTACAGGCACGCTGAACGGCTGAATTCATATGGGGCTCATTTGGCTTTGCTCGGGGGATTGCATTTGCGATTTGCGTTGCCTTTGTATTGTTTGTGCCATCTCTCACAAGTTCAAATCAGCCCCCCACATGATTGCCCCCTATAACGTTTCACAGCATCCCCACCATGTATTGGGAATATCTTCCGATGATGATATAGAAATAGTGATGTCATCATCGGAACTTGATGCCAATACAGGAAGGAGATGTTCTGTGGGACGTTGTGGGGGCCGATTTGATCTCCTCACTCTTCTAAGTACCRGTAGTCTCTACAATTGGCGGTGTGCGTAATGCGCACTACTCTGAATCTCCGTGTTGCGTGTTCAAAATCCACATTCAGTTCATTCAATCAATTCCATTGTACTACAATGAACAAAAAACAAAACCTAACGTAGGATAACCGACGACACGTGCGCCAATGCCCATGTGCGCAGGCATCGGGAGACTACGACGTACCAGATTGGATGGTTGGCGTTGGAGGAGCATGAGCACAGAGAGAGAGAGAGGCTACAGAGATGTTCTGTGCGGCCTATGCCTTGCCTACTGTAGAGTGTAGAGTATAGAGTGTAGACCTCTTACAGGTTAAACAGCCTTCTCTTGCTCTTCTTCTTCTTTCTTCCCACTTGATAATAGTCAATAGTCCACTGATGACTGGCCGGTATAGTACGACCGACGGGAAGGAGATTACTCCGCATCTCAAGATCTTTGTACGATAAGATTGCCCTGACCATTCGATCTAAAGACTTTTCGTACACTACCCACTGACTCTCTTCGAACAATCCAAAACAGAAGACAGTGAGTGAGATCACATACTTTTGAGTCAAATTTTCTTTTAATATTTTTTAACATCATTGTCAGATGCATTTGGCGCATTGGATCTCCTTCTACGAGATTTCTGTTCTCTATGTCAATGAAAAGCGTAAAATAAAGAAGCCATAGCGAAACCCTCCGGCGCTCTCGAGTTCTCAACCGACGGATCGGAACCCAATAGATTCAGGTTGGGGAACATCGTGTTTCACTCACATGGATTCCAGTCTCTGACCAGTAACCATTGACGCCTGGATAGCTCCTGCCTTGTTAATCATTTTGATAAAGAAAACAGGAGAAGAAAAGCCATGGATTGGTATTGTAATCTGGTTTTGATATGTACGGTAGATTCTTGCAGGTTTTGACGACCATGTGATCCATGTACAGCTCTCGTTGGATTGGGATATCCATATCCTGGGGCGAATATGATATTAAGATGTGGAAGCGGTTCACTCTGCCACTTATAGACCATCGAGTTGATCTATCATTATCCGGGCTCCAGCCCTCCTACATTTTGATCTTTAATGCGGAGAGAATTGAATGGAATTACCTGTAAAATGTAAGACTTTCCATTCGTGTCGAGGTAGTTTTCCTATAAAACCTTTTTTTAAGGAAACAATAATAAATGAATTAGAATTCAGTACTCAGAAAAAAAATTTCTTAACACTTGAGTTGGGATCACCTTCGAGGCCGGCTTCAAACAGGGCAAAACCCGTTCCAACAGCTTTTACAGTCTTGGGGATAATTCTGTAGTTATGTGATTTATTTCATGAGAGATATCCCACGTTCGACCCCGGCTTCAAGCAGAGCAAAATCCGGCTTCAAACTGACTTGCCGTAATAGAAGCTGAACACGTTCCAACTTGGATCTATCATTTACTAGATGTATTGGCTTGCCCTAATGAAAGCCGAACAAGTTCCAACTTGGATTAATTTCCTAGATGTATGCTGTTGGTAAGATTTTGGAACAGGTTTTGTTAGCAGTGATCCGGATTCCAACACTTGCAATCCTGCATCTTGCATTGGGAATATACCTTCCTGAATGACAGAATAAGAGTAAGGAGATATTCCAAATGCATGGCTGTATGTGTTGTGAGGATGCTGTGAGAACTGAATCTTAATTGGGATGATTCAGAATCTCCTGCCCACCAGAGTTCTATCTATGTCTATCTATAATACACTATCTCCGTACATTAAAAATATCTCCCTCTACATAATACTATATAAGAGAATGAGATGCTCATCATGTGTGACTGTGATGTTATATGAGTAAACATGGCAGAGTAATGGTGGGCAAGAGATCCAGAGTCATCCTATCATTGCTAGGGATTCAGTTCTCACAGGGTCTTCACAACACATATAACCGTGCATTTTGAATATCTTCATACTTTTTATTTTGTTGGCGATATATTCCCAATACAAGGATGCGGGATTGCAAGTGTTGGAATCGGAATCACTTCTAATAAAACAAGTTCCGCATCCTACCAACACTATACAATATGCCCCACATGTTGCTGGTGTACCTTAAAATAATGGGTGGGACCCTCTGATGCTTACGTAATTAAAATAAAACGAAAAAATAAGGGATATCAGTCATATTAATACACACTGAATCACTGATACCTATTCGAGGGTATCGACTATGTTGATATTTTAATTCTAATACTGGGTCTGATATTATATGGTCATTTGACCTTTACAAGGCTAACCGTGAGCAGCTCGTTTGCTTTTGTTTTTTTGGATATGTTTTGAAGGGCTATACAACGGGGGTAGTCCATCCCCAACGAGATTCAATCTCATGTCTCCGCTATGATCAATACGGGGTCTGATGAGCAGCTTGTAGACCTGGCAATTGGGTTGAGTGGGTTAGATTCGGATTGGGTCAAGGTACTTTGGGTTGTTTTCGGGTCGGGTTGAAATTCGGGTTGTGTTATCAAATGCTAGATCCTAACTCTAAATGTTTGGGTTAGGATTGATCCATGGGTCAATTCAGGCCATCCCAGAAAATAACTGAAATTAAAAAAAATAAAAAAATACATGAAAAATGTCAAAATTAAAAGAATTAACCTTAAAATTCCAAATATAAAATAAAAAGCTTGAACATTTAACAATTTAATGAGTAAACAATAAAAAGTAAAGACTAAATAGAAAAAATTAAAGAGTAGAAACTTCTAACAATGCATAAGTAATCTCAATTAGACTTGACAATCGAGTCAGCGGGTTGACCCATGACCCAACCCAACCCAACCTAGTTTTTTCGGGTTGGGTCGGGTCGGGTCAGGTCATTTCACATTCGGGTAGCTAAATATGAGACCCTAACCCTGTTTTTTCGGGTTGGGTTGGGTTGGATTCACGGGTTGGGCCAACTTTTTGCAGGATCTAGCAGCTGATTTTGATTTCTACTTACATGACCAAAAGAAGTAGAAGCAACAAAACACGACCTTTTTAGTAGAACCCCAATGTAGCTGCTCTATCCATTGACTATCCTTAAATTACTTCAAAAAGTTGTCTTAGACCCTTTAGTTGTAGTGAGTGAATGTATATTACTAGCTTAGTGACGCAGCGTGGAAGCAATGAGAACCGGAGCTGGCTATGCAAGCACTGGGCGCTCGCTAGCACCTAGCGAATAACACCGATTTCTCTAGGAGAGAGAAAAGGTGGCGAAAACTCAAAGAAGAGAACTCAAGAAAATCTGAAAATCTGAAGTATGAATTGTGTTCATTAACTGGAAAATAGCAGTATTTATAATACATTTGGAAATTGAAATTGTAAAAGAACTGGAAATTATAAAAGAACTGGGAAAGAACAACTAGGATAGATCAAAACATCTAATTTAGATAGGATCGAATTCCTCTTTGCCTGATCTCCACCGTCCGATCTCCCTAGATGCATGAATCTTGGATTATCTTTTTAATCTTGATGCTTCTTGGAGTCTTTCTTGATAATCTTGGAAGAGTCTTGGAAGAGTCTTGCCTTATCTTGCTAATCTTGGAAGAGTCTTGATAATCTTGGGTTTTTGAATTCTTGATGTATCTTGAATTCCTGAATTATCTTGGATTCTTTGAGTTCTTTGGCTTATCTTGAATTCTTCCCATGAGTTGTCGCCCATATGATGAGATGGGCCTCCATCACTTAGTGATATTTGCATATGAAACTGCTTTAAGCCCATGTTTGGGAGTGCTTAAATTAAAAATAAGTGCTTATTTGAATAAACACTTAATTGCATTTGGCACCCAACTTTTTCAAGTGTTTATTTTATAAAATGAACACTTATTTCATATTGGGTGTTTGGTAGTCTTTGTAATTCTTTCTACTTCTYGCGGTATAATGACAGACCGAGAGGCTCGACGAGAAGGAATTCCAATATGCACTTAAATATGCATTTGTCACTATTTCAGTATTTTGTCATTCATTTTCTTTCAAATTTTCAAAATATACCCTTATTAAAATATTTATTAAATTACTATTATAAAAACACTTATATAAAAGTACTTTTACAAAAACACTTTTAAGAAAATACTTTTATTAAAGTACTTTTATGAAAATACTTTTATAAAATTCAACTAGGGATAATTTTATAAGTGATATTTCTAAATTCAAATAGAGATAATTTATAAGTGGTATTTTAAAATTCAACTAGGGATAATTTTAAAAGAAAAAAAATTGAATAAATGTAAACACTTAAAAAAGCTAAAAATTTGGACTTAAAAAAGACCTTATTTTTAAAATAAACACTTATTTTAGACTTATTTTCTAAACACCAATAAATACTTAATAACCCAAATAAACACTTATTTCGAAGAAACACTTATTTTTAAAAATTCCAGCCTAAACCATTTATCAAGGCTCAAAATTCTGCATTATATGCCATGGTCAAAGAAGGCATTGTCATTGATGCATTTGGTAATTAATGCGCATCAGGCATAGCCTCAATGAGATCATAAGAATCATTAATATACAAGTGAAATATTAATCGGTGAGTGTGGGTTTTCATCTGTACTGAGTTTATTAGCAAAAGGGCTATTTTATATTTCGTGTTAGCTGGTCAAAACCTCAGATCAAATTCATTAATAACAGGATACTAATGAATCAGGGGCGAATTGGTGTGTGTTTCTCCATGACTCAATGGTAATTTGTAGACCTGTTAGCATATTCAGGCATTGGATCGGGTTTTTATTTTTTATAAATAGAATTTTATTATTTTCA